CGGACCTAAATTTTTAGGCACAGTATAATACTTCATCACCACCGTCATCCACATCTCATCCTTCTCCGTCCTTCGCATATACTTTTAATTCACTTTAAAACTACAGCCAATCCTTGCGGCCTTCACAACAAGGCGCATCTGCTAACACAAGCTGCTGTACAGTAACTTTTTTAAATATTAGAAGCTACAGCTTGATGTCAAAAGCAGCTGCTTGAGGCCTTTCTAATTCGTTCATAACTAGCGACTGTCTTTTACCCCACTTTTCTTAAAGTGTATTTCCATTCGCTCTACTTCAGCTTCGGTATTTTCTAGGTGAACAGTTTCGGTGAGTAAAAGCTTCGGGTTTTTTTCTACGCAAAATACAGTCAAATACACTATATTTAGTGAGCCGCTAGGTGATTTATTATTAAGAAAACGAAACATTGTACAAAAAAAAAATTCCGCACCTGAGCGAAACAGAGTCGAAGCGGGCTACTTGAACTTTGGAAGTAAGACTGACAGTGCTCATCATCACGGTGAGTCAAATCCGGCGCTTCATTTCGACGACACGCTCCATTAACTGCCCAGTGCTCAGCCAAAACATTCAACTGAAAATTCTTCAGTCATAACTCCGAGTTATTTGCACTGTCAAAAGCTAAGGAAGTTTTACTAATCATTTTTTTTTTTGCCTTGCCTATTCATGCAGATGCAAAAATGCACATTGTCAAGAGACTGTATGGATGTATGTTTGGAGAAACGAGCAAACTTTGTCATCCACTTTCAACTCAACAAATGGAATAATCGGTCAATGCACGGGCTGTCCGTGCGAAGATGCGTTTTTTGCATAGTTCCCCCACTTTTTGTTGCTACCGGCATCGATTTTTTCAGCAAATCCTTCTAGCTAAACAAATTAAGACTGGCCGCCAAAACTGGCAGGAAACACCCCCTTAAAATTTCAACTTCCTAGCTTTCCTGGCTCCTGAGTTAGCAATTTACTGGAAAAAGTACGCGGGTACCACGCTTACCCGGAAGGTGGGTTTGAGCTTATTATTACCTACTTGGAAGGGGAACATTCTCTTAAAATCTCAGCTTTCTAGCTTTTCTGGTTCGCGCAGCTTACTCGTAAAAAAATTTGGCGGGCTCTTACGTAGGTACCACGCGGGAAAGACCGCCCATTTTGGGGATGGAGGCTCGTACGTGCATGAGATTAAGTCCCCAAAGTTTCAGTCCTGTAGCTGTTGTAGGTCTCGAGTTAGAAAATCGTTACAGAGGCCCTGTGCACATATGGACACACACTCACACAAACATACACACACAAACGCAGACACAGACACACACAAACACAGACACACACACACACACACAGGCAACTTCTCATCAATATGCGTTTTCGCCATTGCATAGCTGCAAAAAACGCATAAAAATTAGGAAGCTGAAATTTCAGGGGTACATCCCCACTGCATGTGTCATCTTCCTATTTTAAAACCAACGCTCAAGCACACATGTACGAATGCCTAGGCCTTATGTACGGGCGCCCAAAAAGAACTGAGTTAACTGAGTGCCGCCTCTATCTGAACTGAATATTCAGTTGCATGGATGCAAGACGAAGGTGAGTTTTAAAGGTGTATTTAAAATATTTAAGTTGCACATTGACATAAAATATTCTCGTAACATTTCAACTCCCTAGATTCTTTGGTTCTTGAGTTGAAGAAGGCCGACAAAATGCGAATAGATACAAACACGCAGGCAAACTCCTACCAATATGCATTCTTGTGTTTGCATAAATATGCAGAACCGCGTGAAAATGACCTGTTTTAAATAAATGCATGAATGAAAAAGCTAACTGACCTGATCATTATGCCTTCCATCCACCAGATTTTGATCGTTGGAGGGTTCATTGTCATTAGGTCCGAGCAGGCCATTGCTTCGTCCATGCATCCTTCCCGGCAATATAATTTCACAAATGTGCCATTGACTGTTGCATCGCACCATCAGTCCATCATACGTTTTCAGGATAGTCCAGTCATCATTTCTGTGAAGCGAAATAAGCGAAGCTCCGTCAATACTGTCCACTTTCTGCCACGGCATTATCACCGGAGCACCATTTACTAGCGCCTGCATCAAAACCACGACTTTTATTATCTACTATAAATAACAACAAATGAATGCTCCAAAAAAAAAGCATCATCAAAATTTAATATCTGCAATCGCTTTCTGCTAGTTTATTAATGTGGTTTTTAAATTCCCATCAGAATTTATGGCCCAACAAAGCG